TCCTTTGCATCTTAGGCGACACACCCCTAATGTAGCCAATCCTCCAAGAGCTTACAGTAGCCCCTGTAAGAAGAGCTCTGTAAGCTCTTGGAGGATCGGCTCTATTAGGGGTGTGTCGCCTAATAGGCAAAGGAGCTCCTGCTACAAAAAGAACCCTGGCCGGCACCATTAGAATGTTTAGCGCCATCTGTAAGGCTACTTGCTGTGTTTAGTGGTTTTCAGTTGGATTTTAATGTAGTGGACAATACTGTCATACACCGCCCTGGGTCCTGTCCTTCAGGAAAGGGCGGTTTATAATAGAATTTAATAAATAAATAAATAAATAATGGATATGCAAAGGTAAATGCAAATGATACACCCCGTAAGCATTTCTCACAATGTCCCTCCTCCTCTTGTGTCTATCTTAATACTTTTATCCATCATGGGCTCAGTGCCAAAAATACTGCATCTGCCAGAATTCCCAAGAAGATGATATAACAAAGGAAACTTGGGTTGGCATGAAGGTGGAGGAGACCAGATTCCCTAAGAATATCAGAAGAGCCCTGCTGGATCAGACCAGTGGTCCATCTAGTCCAGCATCCTGTCTCACACAGTGGCCAACCAGTTCCTCTGGAGGGCCAACAACAGGGCAGAGAGGCCAAGGCCTTCCCCTGAGAAGAACATCAGAAGAGCCCTGCTGGATCAGACCAGTGGTCCATCTAGTCCAGCATCCTGTCTCACGCAGAGGCCAACCAGTTGGGCTACTGAGGTCCAACAAGAGGGCATAGAGACCAAGGCCTTCCCCTGAGAAGAACATCAGAAGAGCCCTGCTGGATCAGACCAGTGGTCCATCTAGTCCAGCATCCTGTCTCACACAGTGGCCAACCAGTTGGGCTACTGAGGTCCAACAAGAGGGCATAGAGACCAAGGCCTTCTCCTCATGTTGCCTCCTGGTTCTGGCATTCAGAGGATTAGTGCCTCTGAATGTAGAGGTTCCTCTCAGTCACCATGGCTAGTAGCCACTGATAGACTCATCCTCCATGAATCTGTCTAATCCCCTTTTAAAGCCACCTATGCCTGTGGCCATCACTATGTCCCCTGGCAGCAAATTCCACATTTTAATCACTTGCTGTCTGTGTAGAGAAGTTTTTCATTTTGTCTGTCCTGAATCTCCTCCCCATTGGCTCCATTGGATGCCCACAAGTTCTCCTATTTTGGGAAAGGGAGAAAAACTTTGCTTTGTCAACTGTCTTCCCCACCTGCCTAATTTTATAAACCTCTGTTGTGTCTTTTCTAAACTGAAAAATCCCAGACTCCGTAGTCCCTTGGTCTCAGCCTTATTTTCACGGTACCAGGATAGCACAGTGGTTGGAGTACCGTGCTAATGCATGGGATTTTCAGATCCCAACTTTGCCACGCAGCTTCTTGGGTCCCCAGGGCCAGTTGGCTCTGGCAACCTAACCTAACCTAACCCACAGGGTTGCTGTAAAGGTAAAATAAAGTAGGCTCCATTGGCTCCATTGGATGCCCACAAGTTCTCCTATTTTGGGAAAGGGAGAAAAACTTTGCTTTGTCAACTGTCTTCCCCACCTGCCTAATTTTATAAACCTCTGTTGTGTCTTTTCTAAACTGAAAAATCCCAGACTCCGTAGTCCCTTGGTCTCAGCCTTATTTTCACGGAGCCAGGATAGCGCAGTGGTTGGAGTACCGTGCTAATACATGGGATTTTCAGATCCCAACTCTGCTACCCAGCTTCTTGGGTCTCCTCAGGCCAGTTGGCTCTGGCAACCTAACCTGACCCACAGAGTTGCTGTAAAGGTAAAATAAAGTAGGCTTTATGTAGGCTACTCTGAGCTCCATGAAGGAAGGCTGTCATAAGAACAGGTCCTAAACAAATAAGCAGATGAGAAAGGAAGAGGCAGAGGAAGAAGAAGAGGAGGAGGAACGTGCAGATCTGTCCTCACAGAGGAGAGAGAGCTTGTACCGGAATAAAACTTGGTCTTAAAGGTGCCACTCGACTGCTTTGGACCAGGGGGCTGGGGGGAGCTCTGCAACGTACCTGGCTGCTTCTTGCTCTGACTGAGGGCTGCTGGGAGCAGGGGGTGGGGCTTGTTGCATGTGCCTGCCCCCTGGGCTCTTTACTGCCGGAGCTCCGCTGCTGCAGGAAATGACCCCTGGTTTTGGTTATCCATGAACCATGCTACAGTTATGCCTGGAGGGTGGGGTTTTTGTGTGGAAAGCAGTTCATCCCCCTCTTGCTTGTGAAGTAAGGTAATCCAGCAGCTGCGAGTGGAGGAGTGAGGAATCAAACCCGGTTCTCCCAGGTTAGAGTCTGCGCACTTAACCACTACACCAAGCAACAGAAAAATTAGGAAACTCTCCTTTACCCTTAGGTTTTTCCGGTTACAGCTGCAGGTTTTCCCCAACTTGTTTTCCCCCCTGCTGGCCTACCAACTTGTTTCCTTGTTTTCCCCCCTGCTGGCCTACCAGCTGCATCCACCCGCACTCAAGAGACATCGGCCGTCCTCCGTTCTGAGGCTTGCCTGGCTGCTTTCTGGGGGGCATTACTATCCTCCTCTCCCACTTGCCCTCTTCTGGCTACCAACTGGCAATCTTGTACAGCAAGGGAGGCCAGCAACATGGCCTGCTTGCCTCTTCCTGCGTCCACAGCAGTTTGCTGGTCCCAATCCCAGCCGCTCCGAGTTCTTTAAATCTAACAGGGCTGCTGTCATTTCTTAGCCTGCCCAATGGGAGGACATCTGAGCAGCTGCCCATGGCAGATTCAGGGGTGGGGACACGGGGGGGGG